GTTTCGGAATCTCTTTACGAAGTTTTCAACTGTTTCACCATTGTTTCGGAACCTCTTGACGAAGGTGTCGACCAGCTCCCCTTCCTTTTGTTTCTCGTCGAGCAACGTTCCGATGGATATTTCGGTGTCGTCGTCAAAGAAGTTAGCGAGGAACTTAGTCTCCATGTCGTCCCAGCTGTTCACGCTTCCTGGCTTGAGGCGGCGGTACCAATCGAAGGCGGCTCCGCGAAGAGTGCCAACGAATGACCGCACCATCAGAGGCTCATTGCCGAAAATAATACCCAGGTGCGATTTGAAATAAATCAAATGCTGAGTGGGGGAACCCTTCCCATCAAACGGCGTAAAGTTAATCAGACTGAACTTCGCCGGATAGGGGATCGATTCCCACTCTCTTGGGTATGGACAAGGAATGCCTGTTTTCTTCGTCTCTTGAGCGGAGATCAATGTGTTGATTTTGCTCTCGAGATCTTTGATCTTCAAGTCTTCACTTGTATCCTCGTTGGCATCCTCGTTACCACCCCCTGCATTGACAGGAGGGTTATTGGCATTGTGAGCTCCATCCCTATCCGTGTGCTCCTCTTCCTGAACAACCTGCTTACGGTGACTTGGTTCACCTTGTTGGTTCCTGAACGCCTGGATTTGTTGCTCATGCATCTCTCTCATAGTCTGCATGGCCATCTGCATCTCGAACCTGAAGCTTTCTTGTTGTTTGGCTATGGCATCTTCGAGCATCTTGGCCACTTGTTCCGCGCTTATCATCAGTGACTCGCGGGGTTCCCCCTCACTGGACACTGTATTATCTGATGCGACTGCGGAGCAGGTATCCGACTCTTCACCTTCTGAAGGTACTCGAACCCTACCATAAGTTCCTCGTGTGATTGCTCTAGACTACAGACGGGTTAGACGCCGGGATGCTTTCAGAATCGACTCGAGATTATCCCGTGATGAGGTCTCTTTGCTTGTCATATTAGCGGTGACCCTCGGGAATTCTTCATCTTCAACCACCGTTCTTCTTTGTCGGAAACGCCTATGCCTTGGTTTTGACGTTTCGGTATTAAGCCTGTCGAACACTGAAATTCTCTCGGGGACTACCTTGATGCAGTTGCACTCAGACAGTACCGCCCGAATGAGCTTTGAACAAGGGCACTGAGTTTCTAGCCTTCGAGAACTTCTCTTTCTGGCTTTGTTCGTACCCCCAGCACGATAGTACAGCTCGTCCGTTTGAAAGTCAGAGCAACCTATCGTGTGTTGGCACGATTTCTCAGGTATAACGTAATCATCATCAGATGATAACGTTTCCTTCTGAGGGAGAATTGCCTTCCTTGGACTTTCAAGAGTCACGCGCCTTGAGACATGCCTTTTTGGGCGTGAATTCTCAGCGGGCTCCTGAACTTCAATGCGCAAAGTAGTGCGCTTGGGGCGACCCCCAGCATGTTGCGTTGTTTGGGGCTTTCGTAGTGGGTCCAAACGTTCTTGGATTGGAGCTTGCCTTTATATCGTGAATTGTACGCGAGGCGCTCGCAGAACTCGATCTCCTTCATTCGGATGAATTCCGCGGATCTCCCGAAAGCTATGAATTACCGGCGACCTTCGTCGTTCAGCCGGAGGTTGAATCTTGCTTCGAAGGCTGCAACGATTTTGCCATTAGTCTAATCGCCCGCTCAGACTTCGCCTCAAATACTTGCGATTGTGCCGGCTCCTGGCCACTTCTTTTGCATCTCTTCGGCGCTCTTGTAGCTTGAGCCCGTCATGCGCTATAGTGCGCGACGTGCTGCGAATAGCGCTCACTCAAGTGTCGAACTGTTTACGCGTTTGATACGACCCATTGTTCGTTTGGCGGCTTGGAGGATCGCCATTCATCGTGGTGAGGCTCGTTGCCTCTCCGGTCTTTCAGACTCGCATTGTAAGCGATTCCGTCGTTGTACTCCAATCGCTTGTGGCGAATTTCTTGGCCAAGCTTTGGCCGCGCCTTTGCGCTGCTCTTGAGAGAGTCACCGCTTCTTTGGTGACAGAGGATTGTTAGAACCAGCTTGATCTGGTTGCAGGTTGTGTGGATGCCATCACCCGAACCAGCTGTTGGCGTCAATATCCGGTGAGATCCTGCGTTGTAGCTTCAACTTCGTCGTAACCAACCGTACCTTTCATCCTAGAAGATAACTTTGACTTGCGGGGGGAGGTCGATCCGGACGAGGATGATAGATACTCCTCGAACTTCTGTTGATCGAATTCATATTCGACCTCCTCTTCGACCAGGATCGAGATCCACGGCTGCGACGCATCGATCTCAGCAGCGAGATCTTCGGCTCCCACTGTGGTCGCCAGATTGTTCGCATGAAAAATTGTTTTCTTCATTGAGTTCATTGTTCTCTCAAGTAACTGTTTTTCGATTACAAAAGATCCGGTCTTTTTATAAGATCCGGTTACAACAAAATAAAAGAAGAAATAAAAAGATTACAACTTTCCTTTTTCGAACGAATCGCAAGATCCTGTTTTGCGGTCTCTTGCTTTTGTGGGTTCTTTGCCTGCGTCGAGGTTAATCCGTGGACCACCACGCGATCTAGATCCGGATCTAGATCCGGTCGGATCTACACGATGTAACGGGTGTTATCTCACGAAGGAAATAACAGCCGGGGGTACTATTTCACTATGGAAATAGTAGCCTTCTCGGGATCAAAGGCCAAGCTTTGATCCGGAGGTTTACTGTGTAGATCTCAGATCCGATCCCTCTCGAACTCCTGCCTTATTTGACGTGGACGATCGCCGAGCACCGGATCTGAAAGAGCAAGTCTTCAAAGCTTCAAATCTCTAAGGTTCAGATCTCAATTCAGCAGAGCTTCGCCGTCAAAAATTCCAACCCCTCACAAATGAGCCCTCAAGTCCTATTTATAGGCACTCAGATCTATGCCTTGGCACAGATCTGGGCCGGCCACCTATAGGTGGCTCGGCCGACGATCGCCGAGCACCGGATCTGAAAGAGCAAGTCTTCAAAGCTTCAAACTTTCAAAATTGAGATCTCAATCCAGCAGAGCTTCGCCTCCAAAAGTTCCAACCCTCTACAAATGAACCATGCCTCTCTATTTATAGGCACTCTTCACTGTGCCCTGGCACAGTGGCCGGCCACCTGGAGGTGGCTCGGCTTTGGCCGAGCCACCTAGAGGTGGCTCGGTTTCAAGGCCGAGTCCTCTAGGTTTTCTGGTTTTGTGTCTGTTGTCCGGTTTCGTGGTTTATTTGGACTCCGATTTGTTGATCTGAATCTTGATTTGGCAGTAAATCCGCTTCGGTGTTCGAGTTCGAATGCGTTCTATGGTTGGATGACTCGTTGACTCCCCGAACCGTCGGCTTGATTCCGCGCGAGAATGGATGCATTCTGTTGCTTGCGTGCGATTTGTTAACCTCGTCGCCTCGTTAATCCGCTTCGTTGCGTGTCACTTGGCTTCGATGTTGTGGACTAATGCTCGTGTTTAGATACGTCACCCGACGGTTCTTTGGTTTGTCGAATCACCGTACCGAGCTGTGTTCAGGAACCTATGGGCAGTTTTATACGCCTACAATTGACTTGAGGGCAAAAATATCTATACAGTGGTTATGATATTATTCCAAATGATCATAATCCTGTTAAAACCAAACATTAGTGTGGACTTCTTAAAGTTAGTTCGAATTTTAGTCCGTGTGAAAACAGACATTAAACATGACTAGAATAATGCCAAGTTAACATGGCCTGAGGACCATAGTCTGGGGGCTAATACTACCCTCCAGTCCTAGGATAAAAATCAAATGTGGTCTGAGTGCCTACATGTTTTCTCATAAAATAGTGAGACATGTGGAAACTTTTTTTTGGTCAATGAAAAAGACTTTATTCATTTACCAACTATAAAAGATTATGTACATCAAGTTTCTCAGAAATTGAGAAAACAACCTGAAAACATAGTCAGGAAGTGCACCTAATAGCTATACAGGTTTTACAATGAAAGAATCCAAGCTTCATTTTCAGCTACTATTGGAGAATAGAGACTTATTGTCAGTATATCAACTTTGATTTTTTTTTTACCAAATGCTCCACAGTCTTGTGTTTCTGCTGGAAAATCCTCATATTCCGCTCATTCCATAGGTAGTAAATAGTAGCCGATAGTGCCAACCTCTTAATTTTTTGTTTAAAACCTTTCCCTCTTAGTCTTGTACAATACCAGTCCAAGAGAGAATCCCAACTACATGTCTTCTAAGTGAATTGAAGCCAATCCATGATGCAATTCTACACTTCCCTTGAAAATGTGCACTCAAAGAACATGTGGTTTCGGCTCTCTAAACATGCACCAGAGCATAAACTACATTGATTTACACTAACGACCCCTCTCCTTAACAACCTGTCCTGAGTTAGCAACCTATTATTTACAGCCAACCAGCAGATGAATGTGTGCTTAGGGTAGCACAACCCCCCCAGACCATGTTGTACCACAATACTGTGTTTGATGCAGGGGAGAGAGCATGATATATCGCAGCTACTTTGGTTTTTGAGTTGTTAGAACATGAGCTAAGTAATTGCTTTAGATTATCAACAGCACCACTAAATTCCAAAGCTTTGTCTCTAACTTTTAATATATGTTTCTACATCCATGAATTCCCCTTCTTTGCTTGCACTAGCCAGACATTTCTATTCTTTAGATATGTACCATGAATCCATTTTATCCATAAGCACTCCTTATTAGTATGAATGTGCCAGAGTACCTTCAGGGCAGAAGCCATGTTTCAAATGAAAGCTGAAAGTATTCCCAGTCCTCCTTGTTTCCTACCCAGACACACTCTCTCCCATGAAACAGAGGAGTTGCTTTGACAGTTTGATCATTATTCCCCCACAAAAAATTCCTGCACAACCCATCAATTTTTTGAAGAACCCTTGAAGGCAAGATATAATTGGATGTCCAGAATATTTGAATTCTTAAAATGGTGCTTTTGATTATTTGTAACCTCCATGTGTATGATTATTTTCTATGATTCACACAATACTAAAATTGATCAGATATTTTGTTGAAGAGAGGTGAGCAATCTAAGTAAGAAAGCCTTTTGCATATAAGAGGAACACCAAGATATCTTATGGGCATAGTTCCCTCTGAAAAACCCAAGCAACTGAATATAGAGGCTTTAATAGAATCATCAACCCCTCCATAAAAGATTGAGCACTTGCTCGAGTTTGCATCAAGACCTGAAACTGCATTAAAGTCACTGAAACATTGATGAAGCTTCCTCACTGAATATAGGTTTCCTTCGGAGAATAAGAGAAGATCATTTGTAAAAATCAAGTGAGTTATTTTAAATTTCCCACATCTTGGATGAAACTTGAAATTCTTGTCCTCTTTCAACAAGTCCAAGCTTCTTGAGAGGTATTCCATTCATATGATAAAGAGGTAGGGAGAGAGGGGATCCCCCTGTCTAAGTCCTCTTTTACCTTTGAAATAACCATGCAATGATCCATTTAAGGCTATAGAATATTTAGGGGAAGTAATACAAGCCATAATCCATTTTATGATAGCATCAAGAAATCCCAGGCCAATGAGCATCTCCTTAAGAAACTTCCAGCTAATGATATCAAAAGCCTTTTTAATGTCTATATTAAGCATAACTCTTGGAGAGATGTGTTTCGTGTTGTAATTCTTAACAAGTTCATGTGTAAGTAATATGTCACTTGATATTTGTCTCCCCTTCACAAAAGCAACTTTGAGCTTCATTTACTAGGAACCATCACTGATTTGATTCTATTTGCCAAAATTTAGACATGTGGAAACTTATGATATGACACATGTCAAAGTTTTATAATTTTATGATATAATGACACATATCAATGTTTTGTGTCTCTAAGAGTTCCGCAAAATATTCTTTATATATAAAAGAGAGAGATCCAGAAAGTTTTTGAGTACATGATCTTTCAATATAAGAAATGTATAGAACGGAGTAAGTGGTCTGCACTTATTTGCTTCTACAAGTTTATTCAAAGTTCTTTATTTTTCCTCCTTTTTTTATTGCTTCCTCATTAAACCTGTAAACTGATGTCTTCTGATATTTTTACTGTAAAATTTACACAATCAATGTATATCTTCTGAAGCAATTTCATATCTATCTTGGTAAAATTCTATAATTTTTTTGGGAAACTTTCAAAACTAGGGAGGATTAGAATTAGGGGCGAATTGTCGGTTTGGTTGATTTTGAGGAATTTTGACAAAACCAAATAGAGCCATTCGATATTCAAAATCAAACTGAATTGAGTAAAATTAGTTTGGTTAGTTCGGTTTGGTTTATTCAATTCTGCATTAACAAAACCAAATAGAGCCATTCAATATACAAAATCAAACTGAATTGAGTGAAATTAGTTTGGTCAGTTCGGTTTAGTTTATTCAATTCTGCATTAGACTCGTTTAATTGGGGGGAGGCTATTTTGATCCAAAATAAAGACGCATGTTAGGAATATGGCACAAGAAAAATGCAAATATGCAAATTAATTGAAATAATAAACACTTTAAGGAAAAGAAAAAAAAATTAGTGGATTAACAAAGTGGAATAAATGTATACTGTCGACAAATAGGAAAGCGGCCGGTTCGGTAAGCTTTGGTTGAAATTTTCTCAAACCAAACCGATCAATTCATGCTATGAAACCGAACCAAACCGCCTAATTCAATCAGTTAGGACTGAGCACAAGACAGTCTAAACTGATAAAATCGTCAGAACCATCCGATTTTTTCCGGCTCGGCGCGGTTTTGGTAATGTTTTCGGTTTGGGTCAGATTTAAAAAACTCAAAATTTAGCTCTATAATGTAACTCCTAGTGTGGCCCACGTAAATTCACCATGCGAGCATCTCTCTTCCCAACTCTCTATGGCCCACACAGCAGACCCATTTAAAGTTCCCAAATAAAACCTATTCCAACGAATTGCAAGATGTCCCTCACAATTCATTGAATGAAGAGAGAGACGGAGCTCTCCTTCATCCCCATGCGGCTACACCTGAAGGCCAAAAGCCATTGCCATAGCTCAACACCTGAAATCACGTCTATTTCGTTGTCTTTCGAACTTAAATCTTTATTTTCTCTATTTCTCATTCTATATTTTCTTCTTTTATTTGATTTGATTGCGAACGCTTCCACCTGATGGTTTGCAGGAGTAGTGGTTGTTAGTTAGTAGTTAATGGTCGCCTTGTGCCACTGAGTTCATAGTTTTATTGTTCATGAATCTCTAAGCGGGGAGCTACTCGTTGTTGCTAACTCAAAAAACCACATCGCGTCGGCCCGAACCGAACCATGTCAGCTCCGGCCGGTTTGTCTTAGAGCATCAGTGCAATTCAGTTGTCATTTTTCCAGTCAAAACCTGACTGGCCGACTGAATGCTTAGGCCAACAATCAAGATTTATTATTTGAATCCTCAAAGAGTGATCTTTGAATCTAGGAAGAATTTTGGATCCATGAAGAAAATATAATAGAGAGGAAAATTTTATTGATGAAAAGTTATCTAATGCCATGAGTTTTACAATCCTTCTTCCTAAATAGAAAAATAAAGTCTACTCCTAATAAGAACAAAATTCCTAAAAGAAAAAAAAACTTAAACTACCTAAAAGACACTCTATTATAAAGGAAATAAATCAGTCCAAATTTAATCAAAATTGATTTTGTTTCCTAATCTAAATTGACTTTGACTTTATTACTAAAAATAAACTCAAATCTGATTATTTTTAGATTTCAACCAAAACAGGATTTTACTAATGTAGAACGTTTAACGGACAATTTCATGAAGGAGCGGGTCAATCACGAGCTAAATATGGATATTAACGCAGCGCGAAAATAAACATCGGAATCCACCAAGGGTTATTCTTTGAATCAACAAAGAGTAATATTTGAATCCACGAAGATCTTCGAATCCATGAAGAAAATATAATAAAGAGGAAATTTTATTAATGAAAAATTATCTAACACCATGAGATTTATAATTTTTCTTCTTAAATAGAAAAATAAAGCCTACCCCTAATAAGAACCAAATTACTAAAAGAAAAATAACTTGAAACTACCTAAAAGACTTCTCTATTATAAAAGACACAAATTAGTCCAAATGGAATGAAATTTGGTTTTATTTCCTAATCTAAATTGACTCTGACTTTATTATAAAAAATAAACTCAAAGCTGACTACTTTTGAATTTTAACCAAAAGTGGGCATTACTGATGAGATTTTGAAAATCTAACGATCTAGTTCGCTTTGTCTCATTGAGATAGATATTTTACATATATAATATATCAGAATCCGTCTTCCGGGTTGCAAGATGTGATCGTTTCTTTACAAACGTCAATGATATGTATGTATTCATATTTAGCTCGTGATTAACACACTCCTCTATAAAGTTGTTCGTTAAACATCCTACATCAGTTAATGATGTGAGATTTTAAAAATCTGATGATCTGATTGGCTCTGTCTTACACATATAATATATTATAATCTATCTTCCCAATTGGAAGATACGATCATTTCTTTACGGAAGTCAGTAATACGTATGTATCCGTATTTACCTCGTGATTGACCCGCTCCTCTAAGAAATTGTCCGTAAAACATCCTACATCAATTTGAACAGATTAATGATTAATACTTACCCTTGCTTAGGACAACCACCTATGACAATAGAGGATTCAAGTTGCAAACAACTTATAGAGTACACACTTTCTTTATTTCAGCAGTTATGATTACAGTTTTTTTTTTGTCAATGAAATTTTTTATTCATTCAACCATATTGGAATTTTGTGTACATCAAAGATGTTAGGTCTCATGTTATAAGCTTACATCTTCTAATCTTGTTTTGATGATTACAAACAATTCCTAATATTATTTGTCTAGTGTTTATGTTTTCTTATTAGGTATTCTAAACAAACAATATGTTAAAGGATGGATGAAATCAAGTATTCACGATCATATCAAATTGAGGTTGGTGAAAATAGTGGAGTGAAGCAATACAATTCAAGTTAAAGATTCAAGTTCAAGCATCATCCGTAAGTTTACCAAGTCAAACTAGATTGAAGACCATCAAGATTGGGTAATTTAGTTTAGGTTTTATGTTATGTGTGTTAAGTACTCTAAGCTCAATCATATACACACATATTTTATTGGTTATATATATGTATGTATATATATATATATATATATATATAATATATATATATATATATACATGTTTTGGTTTTAGAGTTTTCAAGTTCATACAAAAATAATTTTGTGAAATATTGTTTTATTAGTTTATAGACTTAATAATCATAACATACATCTTTTATTAAGTCTATGAAATTAGTTTATGAAGTTTCAAAACATGGTGTAGTCAAAATGTCAAAACAAGTATATTTTATTTTCATGTTTTGGACTATTTAAAAAAAAGATTTCTTATTTAGGAGATGCTATTTGAAAACTAGTTTTTGTAACATGTGTACTTTCATATTTACAATCATTTTCTAAAGTTTCATAATTTTTAGAATTTGTTTGCTATTTTTAAAGGCAGTTTAAAAATTAAATTTCTGCTTTAAACAGGCTGTATACTTGCTATCAGTTGACTGGTCAGTCGACTGATAAAATCAGTCGACCAATCAGTCGACTAACAAAAGCGCCTGTAATTACAAAAAAAGTCCCTGTTTTATTTTGGTCGACTGAACAGTCGACTGATGACCCATCAATCGACTGATAAATGTCGTCAGTTGACTGATGAGTTGGAAAATGCCTATAACGGTCAGCTCATCAGTCGACTGGTCAGTCGACCGATGACAGTAACGGCTAGTTTTTCGTTTCTGTGTTTTTATCATTTTTCTGGATTTCACTTAGGTTTTAAGCTTTGTTTCTTCATCCTATATATACCCTATACCATTTCACTTCTGAACATAGAAGAGATGTTTTAAAACAAGTTTAAAAAGAGTTTTAGTTTGTTTTAAGTGTTTGTTTATAAAATTAGTTTTGTGAAGACAAGTTTAAAAAGAGTTTTAGTTTGTTTTAAGTGTTTGTTTATAAAATTAGTTTTGTGAAGATTGTTTTACAAGAAGAGGAGATCAATTTCAGTTTGGGCTTTCAATCTTCCTATCCCTCTCTCTTGTGATTAGAGAAATGTTTCTAAATCCATATCTCTAGCTTGTTTATGCTTTAATTGTTACATTCATATTTGCTAGATTTAATTAAGTTTATATTTGATTTTTCTCATCGCTTGCACACACAACCATTGAGCTTAACCATTTCACAGATTGTATAATTTAGGGTTGTAGTGAGTGTAACCTTGAGAGTGAGCTTAAATTGTGTTCTCACCTATTGTAGAGAACAATTTATTTATATTGTGCTTAATTGTGAGTTACACGTTGTATCACACTTGTACACCGAGAGGAGTGTGTGGTGAGAGATGGGGTTGTCCCAAGAGGAATGGCGTCGGTAGTAATACCTAGAGGTAGGTCGTAATTCCGAGCACTTGAGGGAAACACGGGCTAGAGACCAACACTTAGAGGGTATTGTAGGCATCTAAAAATGCCTATAGGTGTCCGCACGTAGCTCGGGGGCAAAGAGAAGACGATGAACATCATCATCCGAGTCAAGAAGGATTATCTGAGTGGCATGCACGTTTGTCAGTCAGCTCCAAGTACCGTAAAGAAGCTAATGAGAGCATAAAGCAAGTTAGCAAAGTGCATAAGTCAACCAAACGAAAAGATACGCAAAACAACGAAAAATACAAGTCC